ATGATACAGTACATGATTTTGTTTCCTGCCTTGCTTGATGGAACTGGTTGTTTTGAAACTGTCTGCCTCATGCATCTCTGCCATTAATATGATCCCTTTTTCCTTGACATCAACATTATGTATAACCTGAATAATTTCTGCTAGGGGAAGAGAATACTCTGGGTTTCTTTTTAATCTTTCTTTTGTGCAGTATTGAAATCTCTAGATATAATTTTTTTGGGGGGAGATAAGATGTTACATTTCAGATTGATTCTGATGGCAATGATATATTGTCATTTTCCTATCAAACAGCTTTTCTTTGAGGTTTTGGAAAGAGGGCAGAGATTTAATAGCATTAAGTATCCAATTAATATAGCTATTAAGGAAGAACATTTTAAAGCACAACACAAATTTGCTAATTGCTTCCCTCTCCCAAGAGTTACGTATCCCTAAAAACATCCCAGAGGGTTGGTGATTCTGGTGTGAAGATTTTTTTAAGCTACCCTGGAATATATAGAAATGATTTTCTTTAGGAATGTTTAGGTCAGAGAATAGAGAAAGAGCTGTATTAAGAAGTTAATCCCATTTCTTCAGTGGGCTACCAAATACCTTCAAGCAGGATGTGAGTGTAATAGCACTTTGCCATCTATGTTGTTTAGCAACTGATACTGAGAGGTATTTAATGCTGGAGAAGTTTGGTCTAAGTCATATTGATTTAAACTAGTCAGGAAGACTATAATAATTTAAACATTGTCAATAATATTCTGTTGTTGATCATGATTTATGCTAAAGTTCTTCTGCTTTGTTACAACCTTAATACCTATACTTCAGTCCTCATAGATAGATGCAACTTTTATGTTTAGAAACAGATATATGCAATAATTATAAATTCATACTTCTGATTTTCTTATGATTAAGTTTACATTAAAATTGTTATTTAGCACTAAACCAGATATATCACACAGCTGACATGTGCATTATTTCTTTTGGTAATAGGTAATAAAATAGATTATAGTTAGTATTATGTAAGGCTTAATGTGATGGAACAATAAAAACGGTATATTGGGAAATCAAGGACTGTGATTTAAGCAACTTAAATGATAACCATTATGAATGTGTTTCTGCAATTGCATGCAGAACTAGTTGGACTTGTTTGGGTACATACTTATATATAAATACTGTATGTTCAAGTACATATGCATGCATAGGCATAATTTTACCTGAATAGTTTAATGGAAACAATGAGCTTTATTTAAAAAACTTTCATATACAGTGTATTCATTTAATAGTTCAAATTGATATAAATGCATTAAAATATAGTGCAAAATATGTTAAAAATATAATCATGAAGGAGACAATCGCAATGTATCTGTTTTACTATCTCCGGCTAAACACATAAGCAGGGTAACTTCAAAGATTATATTTACTCTAGTTTTTGAGCAATAAACATAAAAAGATCATACAATATTGAATTTTTTTAATTTTTTCATACTTTAGCAAGAAGGTTCTCTGTGTGCCCAGCATTGTTTGAATAATTTACTGCAAGGGGAGTATTTCAGTCCTGTGGAACTGTCTTCTATTGCACAGCAGTTAGATGAAGAAGAGAGAATAAGAATGGCGGAGGGTGGAGTTTCTAGCGAAGAATATAGAACATTTTTACAGGTAACAGCTCTTCAGGTGGTTTTACATTTATTTGCCAGTTTTTGTTCTGCATATTTTCTTACTGAAAGAGCATATATTGAAGCTGAATTTCAGAATGATGAAATGTAAAGTTATCTATTCTCCTTCCTAGAATAGCATCTCCAGATATACAGGTAGTCCTTGACTTATGANTGTGTTCCTCTACTTTTATATCATTTTGTTAAACATTTTTACTTAATTCTGACATTTATGGTAGTTATCTACATTTTTATTTCTTAATGGCTAACTGCTAACCTTATTAATTTTTTTTAATTTCACCTTTATTTTTTTTAAGTACAATAACTCAAGGCAGCAAATATTCACAGTACTCCTTCCTCCTATTCCCCCTCCCAACAACCATCCTGCAAGGTGGATTGGGTTGAGTGTATGTGACCCGCCCCAAATCATCCATTATATTTTTGTACCAGAAGATAAAGTTCGTCCAAAGCATGTAGCTGATACTTTGGAGCACATCACAAAATGAAGTTGGCTTTTATCCATAGCAGTGGCATTAGAGAAGTCAGCCAAAGATATGCAAAATAACCAACCAAAAGTTAAAAATGAAATTATATCGAAGCCATTCCATCTCAAAGAGTAAAAAAGAAACTATCGAAGTCATTCATTGAAACCCGGGTGGCTCGAACAAAATTACATCAAACCGAGGTTGTACACAAAGCAGAAACTACTCCATTTACTTAGGACAGGTCCTCGTTTGACAGATGCAGCCTTTTATTACACTCTTGTTCGTCTTTGGAGCCCAGGCCTAAATCTAAAGAGGGCTTCATGGAATCCTGCCTATCAGGCCGAAATTCTCGGTCTCTTAAGTTGCAGGGAAATCTTCCTTTCACAAGCTCGAGTCCAGCTATTGTATCCATCTCCTTAATTCTTCGTCGGAAGGAAAGCGGGGAGTCATGAGCCGCGTTCATTGAGGACTGAGCCGCACTAGGGGAAAGCCAAGTATCCCTTAAGCGGCTGCCCTCCGACACACTTACTTCGTTCTTACCTGTTTAGCACCCCCTAGTTATCTCCGGGCACCCGCATTTATTCGGGAAAGGGAAAGGAGAAAAGAAAAACCCGCACGTGCCCACTCAGCCACCCCTCGCCCTGCTTCCCGCTGCCGCCGCCACCATTTTGGGGTAAGAAACCGGTAAGCTCGTTGGAAGAGGAGGAGTCGCCGGGAGGAAAGAGAAATCTGGATTGTACTATCTATGCAGTTAAGAGGGGGGAAACACCGTCCATGGTGTCGGGTTTTCCCCCCCGTCAGTGGTATCGTGATACATACATATATCATCCACCTGAATTGGATTTCTAAATATGCTTTAAGGAAACACAACAAAAAGATATTGACTCCCAAGGGGATGCGTGAAATAAAATAGCGTTATCCGCCCTTCCTTTCCCGCTCGTCTTAATGGTTCCTCCCGGAGCTATCCGAAGCGGTAAACTGAGAGGTCGTCTAGGATTCAGTTGACCCTGGATGAGGCCTAGGTCGCCTGGACTGGTAAGCTTAGGGTTGTGGTGAACGGAGAGGGAGTCAGAGAGGAATTGATGGGGGTGCGTTTGATGTCTTCAGGAGCCTGGGGGCGACACATCCAATAGTGGATGTGTTGTGTATCAAGCCATATACGTTGGAAGATCTGGGGCTTCTATCACATTAATTTTTCAACCACTAATTGAGACTGGTTGCACATGTAGTTTAGTATCACCTGAAAGGATGGCCACTTATGCCCAAATATGGGGTATTTCTAGGTTAGTTGCTCAGGGCGTACAATCATATTCTGGGCAAAATACTTTGGGGAAAGAGACTTCTTTCTAGTACTGTATAACTTTCTCCCATGAGAAAGGATTTAGACATTTTTCTTGCATCTGGAGCAGGCAGGGAATTAAATATCCATTTCAGAATGCTACAGCTCTGCAATAGAAAAGGAATTCCAGTAATAAATCAGATATATTGGCCTGTCCTGACCAGTGTCACTTTCAAGCAAAGCATTAGGCTGCAGCCAACCTTTTTTTCTAAGAAATAAAGAATACACATGGAACCTTTATTTCTTAGAAATAAAGCTGATTGATTCTATGTATATAGCCACCCACCCACCCAATATAACTACAGTTCTTTTGGATGATTTGCAGTTAAAACATAAACAATACCAAAACACTGGGTAAAGCTGATGGACAGTGGCCTTTTGGTTTTGTAGTTCCCAGATTTTTTAAAGTTTTTTTTTTAATTGGATGAGGCAAGTTGTTAAGGGAAATGTTTGCAGTTCTGTTTGAAGGGCAGGTTGGTGATTCTTTTTAATGACACTTCAAAGTGTTGGTATTATTAGCAAATTGTTTTGGGCTTTTCATTAACCTATATTATACGATAGTAAATGACAAATTTACAAAATGGAATATAGTAAATAACATCAAAATACATAAGTATTTTGTAATCCTATTTGGGATTACAAAATTTTGGGATTTGTGCACAGGATTTGCACATTTCAATTACATTCATTTTTTACTAAGTGCAATTCCTTTGACTTGTTTCACTATTATAAGAAAATCTCTAATGGGCAAGCCTGGCAAATGATGGATACATTTGATACAAACTTGGTATTTGAAAGCTTCGACTGTAACATCCCCATTCATGTTTCATCATTTTACAAATGCCAGCATTTGTGGATACTTCCATACCACCATCTATGCTACAGGCAAAATTAAAGTTGCAATAAAATATTTTCCACATAAAATGTTATGTTTCCTCTATAATTCACATCAATGAAATAGGACTTGTTTCACAATAACAGTGAATTTGCGTCCAAATAGGTCTCATTTTTCATTATAAGCGATGATACTCATGTGGAAATACGCCGTTACTTGTAATCCTTTCTTTGTCCTTTTTCTTAGTAACTACCATGAATATTATCCACTTGGTGCGAGATCACTGGCCTCTTACATTGTGTCCCATAGGATTCTTGGTGGGATGGTACTTTGACAAAAGGCATGATGAGAAACTGGCATTATTCAGAAACAGGAGCAGATTATATCAAAGGTTAATTATTTTAATTGATTTCTTACAAGCACTTTATTCTTTCTGGATGTTACTTGAGGAAAGTATTGGTAAATATAGCTGTTACTGCATTTTCATTGATGTGTAAAAATTCACAATTATTAAATTATTCCTTTAAATAATTTATATTGTAATGTTATATGTAGCATTGCTCCAAATATGGTTTGAAGCTATACATAATGCTGAATATGGTTACTGTGTTCCTAGATATACTTGATTGATGTTTATCCTTACTGATTTATACCAAGGCAGATGAAAAAGTTTACAATGGAAACAGCAGTTACATAATATATAATATATTATAATTATGTGTGTGTGTGTGTGTGCGCGTATATATATGTGTGTGTGTGTGTGTG